GCTGGTGTGTCACAAGAGGCTGTTGAGGAGCTGTTGGAAGTACTTTCCATAAAGTCATTGACAGAGTTGGAAGGTTCGTGATTTCCTGTTTACGGGCTCAGACATAGCATTAATTTTAATCTGTTGCAATTGCCGGTTGCAAGACATGTCTAAATAGCCATTTGTGCCTGAGAGTTGTCATTTGAAGTTCAGAACGTGGGTGAAATCCTCTGTGCTTCACATATGGCTTCAGTAAGATTATTAGTGGATATTTTTTTCTTCTCATATTATCCTCGAATTTGACCGTGTTTCTGTGTTGAGTGAAACTGATGTGCAATATGGAATGGTTCATGCTTTGGATTTTTCTTTTTTATTGGCTACACCTGTATCCCCCTTATTAGACAAAGAAAATTCTCCTTGTTCCTTTTTTCCCCTCTTGGGTCATGAAGCACTTAGCATTTCCATAAACTTATAGTTCCAGTCTTAGAGGACGCATGCTGTGTAGCTTACATGCAATCTACAATTGTTGGTGTTCAGAGAGACTTGGAAGCACTGGGGAAGCAGTTGCTGATCTGAAACAGCTTTTTGCACTTGCCGAAAATTTTGGTTACCGTGAATGGCTTCAATTTGATGCATCAGTTGTTCGTGGCCTTGCTTATTACACTGGCATTGTGTTTGAGGTTGGATGTAGTTTATACAAATGACTTGTTGAACCTTATTTTGTGAAGACTGAAGAATTATCCGGGGGGAAAAAAATTGTTTGTGACCTGCACTTGTTGGCTAACCTGGTACAATGGTTAACAGACATTTCTGCGGCAGGTGTACTGGGGGGGGGGGTTTGGTTTAGGGGACGAGGAGGTGAAAGAAGATACATCTTTGAATGTTGAGATATTCCTTAGTTTCTGTTTTGGTCTGTTTGCACAGAAAGTCACGATATATATGGAATTTGGCAAATGATTGGAACCGCGTGTTTTTACCTGCCCATACAATATAGGCACATGAGTAGAATATTTGCATCTCTCTTGGGTTGACATGCGATATTCGCTACTATCTCTGCTCCTTAATATAAGAGCTAATTTGACTTTTAGTTTGGTCCTAAGTTGATTCTAATCCACTTTGTTTCTCATATTTATTTATTTTTCCCAAGGTAGTTCTTGTCACACATGTTAAATATTTCATCAAATGACACTTGACTAGTAAAGGTATTTTAGGAAAAACAATACTCCTCCGGTCCTTAATATAAGACCCATTTAACTAATTTGATTAGATTAAAAAAGTTAGGTAAGTTAGTTAATTATAAGAAATGTGACACGTTTTCCTAAAATACCATAATCATCTTTCTTGATACCCCCTTCTTCTTCTACTTGATTATGGTTGAGGGAGTATCCATAGGGGTAATTTAGAGAAAATTGACAAATATGAGAAATGGGTCTTATATTTAGAATCAAAACCAACTCAATAATTGGGTCCTGTATTAAGGACCGGAGGAGTACCTATTTATTATAAATAACTAAATTAGTTTCTTTAATCTAACCGGAGGCAGTCCTACACCCCCCCCCCAAAAAAAATCCGTAGCAGAAATACAAGAACATACTCATGTTGATTGTGTTGATTCTGTTAATTTTCAGTTGCTGTAGAAAAGGACTGATATTTTTGCCCTTTAAAATGACCAAATCTTCATTTGTAGGGCTTTGACAGAGAAGGAAAGCTGCGAGCTATTTGTGGTGGGGGAAGATATGACCGGTTATTCTCAACTTTTGGCGCTGATGACATTCCTGCTTGTGGCTTTGGGTTTGGTGATGCAGTCATAGTGGAAGTGAGTTTCTATGTTTCCACCTGTGAACAGAATAAGTAGGAACCATCACATGCATTCTAATAAATTTTTCCTGGCTGAATCTCCTAACGCCCTTTTTAAGTTTAGGACTAGTCATGTTGAAACAATGCATAGAACTGAATAATTTATTGATGCAGTTTATTTTCTAAAACAAAGGGCACCTCAGAAAGCTCTTTATTTTTATTCTTGACTTCTTTCTTCACAATTCATTTAATATTATAGTTTGATTTATTTCTACGTCTAAGTGTCTATATTTTGTTTCTTGTTAGCTTACTAGTTATGCAATTCTTTCTTTTTGTTCTTTGTTTGACCATGTTCCGCTATATTGATCCTAAATCCTTTTTTTTTTTTTTTGACTTGTTCAGTCTTTGCTGTTAACTGTCTGCTTTTGCTTCTGCCTGACTACACTTTTTTTTTTTTTTCCGGGTGATGGTGATGGTTGGGTTTATATTAAAGTTGCTTAGAGAGAAGGGTCTTCTACCTGAGCTCAGCCTGCAAGTAGGGAACATCGTGTGCGCCCTGGACGGTGATCTTCAAGGAGCTGCTGCTACGGTTGCTAGGATTCTCAGAGATAAAGGGCAGAGCGTTGACTTGGTTTTGGAGAATAAACCACTTAAATGGTACAAAATTTGTGCTACTCATAGGTTTAATCTTGTTTTTCTAAGGTAGCTTTCACTGTAAGTGAATCAATTTTCTCATCTGGAATTTATTTTCTCCCGTAGGGTTTTCAAGCGAGCAAGCCGAATAAATGCTCAGCGGCTGGTATTAGTGGGAAGTTCTGAGTGGCAAAGGGGTATGGTTGGTGTCAAAATCCTCGCTACCGGTGAACAGTACGAGGTTAAACTTGATGATCTAAATTAATTAGAATTTGAGGACTTTTATGTGTATTGTTAATACGCATTGTAACTTTATTCATTTGACTTCAATTTTCCCACTATTCCGTACTTGTTAACCTGTATATATTTTTGAATAGATATACAATCTCATTGAACTCTTTGAATACTGGAATATTATTGGGTTAGACTAATAATAATATTATTAATTAATTTCTTAAAGCTCAAACATTATCATTATCGTATTGAAAATTTTATATTCCTGAATTTTAAAATAATTTCTTAGTTAGCATATGTTTGCGTAGATAATATCGTTCGAGCGCATTGTCCTGCCATGATTTGCATCTTTCACGATTCTGTCAAAGCATATTTACGAGATTCTAGATGTAGATTTATTTTAATTCACACTTATTCACATCTGTCTTATTTGTCAAATTTAATGATTTAATTTTCTCAGTCGTGCATTTTCCTTTCGTCTTTGTTGTTTATTATGGTCTGTTATTTTCGTTATGGTGGCTCGCTATAATATTTAAGCTGTGGGACCCACGTTTTTAAAATGAAAATACCAAAAATAACCCAATGAAAAAAAGTTAAGGTCAAAAGTTTATGAGTATTTTTTATCCTTAATTATTTGTTTTGATTGGGGGTATTTTAATAATTTCATTAAAAAAAGCATGGGTCCTACGGCTAAAAAAACAGACGTTAACAGTATTGGTATTATTTACTTTTTTTTAAATTTTGATGGGTAGATTTGAACCCAAAAAAAGTTTATGGTGTTGAGTGAATTTTTGGCCAAACTTCATAGGTATTTTTGACTCTTAACCCTTAAATGATTTATTTTTTTTTAAAAATCTATGATATGTGTTACTCCTTTCGGTTGTAAATATAAAATCCAGTCTATAGTGTAAACACTATAAAATAAGTTTTATATTCAAAACATGGGAAGTATTGTTTTATTTTACATAAATTATTTGAACTATATATCCGCTCTGTTCCTATTTACAAAAGAATTTTGAGTGTAGTTTTGTTCCTATATATAAAAAATTAATTATCTTCTTATTTAAGTATTTATTATAATTTTCAGATATGTTCTCATTAAATAGGAGAGGTATAATCTGATTAGCAAATTAGTTAATTTGGTTAATTTTCCTAATTAATGATATTATTGAAAAATTTTCTATATATTATATATGTAAAATTGATAACTAATGTTTACTTATTCTTCTTAAGAAAGTATGTATTTATTCCTTACGAAAATCAAGGAATATTTTATCAAGGGTGATCCAGCTGAGGAGGGGGGATGCGTCTCAAATTTATTTTTATTTTGGTTTGGATTTCTTGAGTTTCAAATCATAGGTTTTGATCCTTCTAAAGGTAAGATAGTCTAAATTTTATTAGATTATACTATTATAGAGACCAATGTTTTAAATGAAAAGAAATTTAAAAGACCAAAACTTACAATTTAAAACTTAACCCTCTGTTTGGATGGGAAGAAAAGTTGAGAGGAAAGAAAATGAGACGAGAGAAAATGAAGAGAAGAAAATTAGAAGGAAAATATTATCATCTTTTATGTTTGGATGGATAAGAGAAAACATAAATGAAAAAAATAAATAAATATATGAATAACTAAAATACCCTTTCTGTTATAGCAGAATATATCTTGATTAAAATCAAATTAAATATCATAATGAAAAACCATATTTACATTAACATAATCATATAATTTAAAATCAAATTATTTGATAAAGATATATTATCATGTTATTATATTTTAATATCAAATAATTTTGTAAAAAAAACATTTTGTGTAATGTAATGCTAGAAAACCAAAACAACAACTCTACTTGTTTTTTCTTTCAGTTTATTTTAGAAGGGTTTTTTCAGTTTTAGTTATTTTATTTTTCAATCAAGGAAACATAGAAAAAAGACTTGATAATAATAAATAAAGTGAAAAATAAAAAAAACAAATAGGTATTATTTTTCTAAAAAAACATATGTAAGTGTAGATAGGAAAAATATGTTTTTTTCTTATTTTCTCTCTATATAGAGAGAAAAGTTGGGAAGAAAATAGGCTATAGAACACACCTTATTTTCTTTCTTCCTATTTTTCTTTTCCAATCTAAACAGGAGAAAAACCACTTCTCTCCTCATTTTTTTCTTGGTTTTCCTTCTTTTTTTATTTTCTTTCCATCCAAACATGGTATAAGGGCATCAAAACTAAAATGAAAACAAATTTAAAAAATTAAAATTTGTATTAATCTTAATTTTTATTACTGAAAAAAAGGACACTGCCTTGGTAAGTCAAATAGGGAAAAGTCCCAGCTACTTGACCCTGTTTCATGCTTTCATCTGCCGCTTCAGTGTAGGAAGACAAAACCCTAACTATATTTCAGCGGAACGCGAGCCAGAACTCAACCGAACGATTAGACATCCGTGAGCACAGGTAGAATAGATAATCATGGGTGGAAAATGTCCACATAGAAGCGTAAAGAAGCGAAGGTATTCTCACAAGACGGCTCGTCGCACCAAATTCCTCCACAAGGATATCCTTCTTAATTAATTATGTCAATCACGCCTTTTTTGTGATTTTCTTACTTATCTTCGATTTCCCTTCGACTCTGGTTTCTTCTCTGATTCTGTATTATTTAGTTTGATTGTGATTCTTGACTGGTTATTGGGACACGAGATGATATGGTTTATGATGAGCTGAAGATGCCGAATGAAGAGAAGCAGCGATTACCTTTAGATGAAGATTTACCTGGGATGGGCCAGTTTTACTGCCTTCACTGCGAGTAATCTTGCTCTTCATTGCCTAATTTTTTTTTTCTTTTTTTGTTTTTCCTCGATGGCTTCTTGAAGCAAAGCTAAAACGCTACTAGTTATAATCACTGAATCGATAACAGTTTTCGAATTCATGGGTCTGCAGTCGATACTTCTCCAATGTGGCCGTGAGGGATGAGCATTTTAGGACCAAACGGCACAAGAAACGGTAGGCGACGTTTGTTCCCTTTGTTGCTCATTCCCTTTTTAGCTTTTTCCTCCCTATTTGTTTAATATTTGATGAACATATGCTTATGTTGTAGTGCTTCTTTTAAATTTTGAGGCTACTTCTGCTTTGAAGCTATCCATTTTAGGTATTATGTGGCAAATAAAAGTTGCATGAACTGCTATCTTTTGCATCATGCTGTTCAATTGTTGGGGAAAAAATTATACGAGGCAATATCTTGCACAGGCTGTTGAGGCTGATTCAATAGGTTCTAGTACCAATGTAATATGCTTTATCCACCATTAGCCATTTATGAATTTGGGTCTTAAATGTCAGCAGTTCCGCTTCAGTTTGGTATTTTGCTCTCATGCTTCATGCCTAATGAATTTGTTAGAAGTCATTTTTTTCCAATTATCGTAGTGCGATGAATGACAATGTCAGCTGCGACCATTGCTAGACTTAAAGCTATTCCCATCAAAGGTATATAAGTTTTGATGGGCAGTTGGGTATTTATTTTAACACGACGTATTCTGTATGCAGTGTAAAACAAATGATGGGACCTGCACCACATACTCAACTTGATGCCGAATTAGCTGCAGGGATGGGCATGCCAGATAATGGCCCAAAGCTTATGTCTATGTGATTTGGTTTATTAACGATTTTTGTTGAGGCTGAGGTTTCTTTGTTCATGGGAGATGTGATGTTTACTCTCCCCGCTCCAACTAGTTCAACAAAATCAATCCCTTTCAACGGAGTAAGCTTAGCTTTTAGATTCAATTCCTGTCAATACATTTCCAGGTGCAGCTTATTTTGGGAGTGACCCAGTAGAAAGTAGTTCTTCCTTCATTAGAGATCAATTCGTTAGGATTTTTATTTAAGTAGTGCTTGGTTTTCCTTTTTATTGATGGATATCTATTAGCTGTCTTTTGTTGCTTGGTTAGCTATTTTTAACTTCTTGAAATGAAAAAAGGGGATTACTTAGTATTCGTCAATCCTGTCAGCAGCAGGCCAATGAAAAATCCACATTTTCCTCTCATAATTTTGCTGGCAAAATATCCTCTATCTTTTTTCGCATTTCCAAGGCCATCCATCATGGCTACTTCAACCTTCGTCTAACCCCTTCTCCTTGCATCCTTGTCACAAATGTACGTCACAGATTTAGGAAGTATTGGGTAGAAACAAAATTATAATTTTGAAAGTGTTTTTACAGTGTACAAGGTAAATATGTAGAGGAATTTATTTTGATTTGTAAAAATGTGATTCTTAAAATTACTTCTTAAGCAATCCAAACACCGCGATTGGATTCAGTGGCTCCATTCTTCATCCTAGCCCTCTTCAATAGACGGAGGGCGTTCTTCCGCTCAGATTTGGAAACCAGCTCCACTGCACCCTTCCTCAGTGCTTGCTAGAAAACTGTTGATGGTGTTCAACGGTGAGCTCCACCATGTGATGACTCTAACGGCGATCACTACCAAGCGACGGCACGGTGCAACGGTAATGATGTTTGCTCAAGTCGGGTTCTACTTGGTTCGAGACAGGTGAAGGACTAATCAGCGATGATATGCAAGGATGAGCAGGGCCTACAACCAGGCCTGATTGCCTTTGTAGTAAATAAGCCTGACCTGAGGCCTTTTTAAGAGGCCTTTTAAGATTTAAGGCCTAGCCTAAAAGTTTGCAAGACCTAATTAATTGTTTTTAGAACTTTGTTTATATTAAAATATGTAGGCCTAAAGTGTACATTTGCCTAGGTTTTAATAGGCTTTATGACTTTCAAAGTTTGCAACACAAGGTTTTTATAGAAACCTACATTTTAAGCAGGGTTGAGTCTCAGAAAAGAGCCGATGCTTCCGGTCTCCATGCAGGCCATATCTGACCTAACTTCTTTCCGTCCATGGGACGTTTTCGAGTCCATCAGTCATAACAGTGATAAACGAATTTTAAGGGGCATTCTCGTCTTTTTAATTACTATTTTTATCCATCCTGACCTCAAGATTCCATTAAAATTTTTCATCATGCGTAAGCTCCGAGAGAGAGAAGAAATGCTGAAAAGTACCGCGATAAGAGCGTAAATTGAAAACTCAGGCTCAGACGCATGATAATATTTACATCCATCCGGTTTCTGGTGCTTTTCCCTGTAAAATAGTATACGCCATGGCACAAGCCAACGAATCAAAATATTTTCACTCTCCAAAGTCGGCTCTGACAAGTCTAAAGTCGTTGTCCATATCGTGGGGCAGGATCTTCCATGGGCTGGATTTTTATCTGCTGGAATCCAATCGTGCCTACACAGTCACTGTTTCCACATCAATCAGGCGTCTCTACACAAGATTCCATTTGAATAACCGGTCTGCGGAAATGAATATACAAATACAGGCGTTGAGAACGCAAATGTCCATTCATTATTCCGTCTCCAAATGCTGACAAGATGCAGCAGCAGCCGTGATTTGGTCCTTTATAGTGAACGGATATTCTGGCTAGAGTGATCCGGCCTGAGTGATCCCTTACGCATAGTCCTGTCCATTCCACCCCCAAAATTTTACTGTTTCCTCCCGAAGCTTTGTAATGATAATCATGCAAATATAAGAAAACTCTGATTTACCTGGTTAGATACATTATCCAAAAAATTCAATGAATAAAAAAAAAACTGGTTAGATGATAGAGCAAATACTCCATAACTAGAGAGAAAGGAGAAAGGAATGAATAGATATACTTGTTAGTATAGCAGGTACTCTACGGTAGCAACAGATCTCTAGCTGGGTATAGCGGACCACCAATCAACAAGCTACAGAAATAGCATCATTCGAGTCCTCCTTTAACTGAAAACCAGATACACTCGCTGATGGAAACTTCCAGTACAGGCGGAATAAAAATTGAATTCAAATAGCTGTTAAACATACCAACTTGAGGTGATTATGCAAAGAACCATGTAACATCTTCTTAAGCTTGTCACACTGATCTACCATGTGACCCGCTTTAATCAACTCCTCAAGTTGATACAGTAGTCGCTCAATTGTTGTGTATGGGAACCAAACTGCGAATGGTTTTTTCCGTCTGATTATATCTGCTGGTCTCTGCAGAAGGTTGATAAAACAAATAGGGAAATGTTACTACAACTACTTGCATCTCGAACATACACTGCCTATATCTAATGCACGGTATTTATAAATCACCCATCATCCAGTGGTCATTTGTAAATTACCCCCAAGTAAATTATAAATGCAGATCCTTATAATATAGAGCCCAATATTTTAAGCAGAGTCCACAAATAAGGTTACAATCGTTAGCAAAGTTCAAATGACGCAAAAAGGTTGTCTGAGAAAAGAAACGTTAACTTTACATGTCATCAAGTGCCAGGACTTGGCAAAAAATTACGTCAAGCAAAAATATATTAAAATGGAAAATTTGGTTACAAATTAACCACTCTTATTTCCTAAACTAGGAAATGATACCAGTATGCATATATCAGAATGAAAACGATCAATTCAGTCCACAACATCAAGAAATAAATTACCATCGATGCAAATGATTCTAAGAACTCCAGCAACAGATTAGTAGCTTCTGTAAATCGACCATAGTTAACATAAAGTTGAAATAAAGATGCAGGATTTGATTCTCGACCAGCCATTCCCCACATCTTCTCTCTTTGACCCTCCTGCCATAACTCATGTAAACAATATCAGACCGGCAATACAAAACACTGTTATAAGATGAACCAGCAAAGATTACCCCTCATCACGAAGATGCTGAAGCAAGATGGGCATCATATAGAGAAACAGAGAAGGGTGTAAGTAATATCTGAAGTCAGAATTGTAGAAGAATTTCACTTTGAAATTTCTTATTTAATTTCCAACAAAATAGCTGCAATTTAAAAGAGAGCCAATCAGCCTCAAAGAAAATAGATATGAACCCCAAAAAGGGGACTCGTAAAGTAGATTCAACCGGAAAAAAGAGGATAAAAATGAATTTGACTTCAGCTTATTAACGAACATAAACCAATGGGACTTTTATGAAGAATTTGTAGGTATTTGTCTTCACCTATAAGCCACAAACCAAACCAAGTAGAAAGATTCAAGTGGTGCATTCCAGATAGTTTCAAATTTGGAAATAATCTAATTTTGTTTTGAGGAGCCCAATTTTGTTTCAAATAGGCACTCAAATCGTGCATGAATGAACAGCCCTTGAAAACTGCAACTTCAGCCAAGATTATTACCTTAAACAATTGAACCAGCCAACGAGGCAAATCAATCTGAGCATCTGCACGAAGAAGAGTTTCAGCAACAATAACAGGTAGTCTTCCATGAAATTCACAATATTTTCCCTGCAATTTGGGAACAGTAAGAGTCAATCAGGGAGAGCTATATCTGTAAGCAAGAACAGAAGCAGTTTTGATGATTGATTGGAAACCACAAGGTCATTTTTAAAGCCCAACTAGTTATTGAATTGGTCAAGCCACTAGTTTCACCATACTGGAACCAATTGTATTTATATAATAAAATATTATGCAACTGAAAAGATCATTAGAATGCAGGAAGAAAACATTATCATCCTAAATATAACTCTATAACAAAAACATATTAAAAGAAGTCTGAATTGGTCAAACGCAACCCAGTCAGCTTTCTGATTTTTGTCCCGTTTCATAAGTTTTTTGATTGGTTCGATAATGACCAGTTCCATGTTTGTTTAGTCCAGTCCTAAGTACAGTGCATAAGATATGCTTGACAGAAGTTTCCCATGAAATATTTTCCTATCTTCCCCCAAGCTGACCAACTGATTGAGACCATTATAACTTGCAGAAGATACTAACAAGGTAAAGCTCCAGAGTTGCCCAATGGCTATTCCTGTCAGGTTGTGCGGTTGTAGAAACTGTACGAGGTGAACCATGGACAACCATTTCAAGCTTGGATGATGTCAACAAATTACTGTGGGGTCTGTAATCATTAAAAATTCATAAGTTATGCAAGTCATAAAATGAAAATAGTCTAGTAAAAACTTTGCACATGTACCAAATACCAAATTATGAACAAAAATAATATTAAAAAGAAGCTATCAGATTGAACACAATATAGGGTAAACATATTCATCAATGCATAATGAAAACGATAAGAAAAAGAATGTCGAGTGTAACAACTTACTCAATCCAAGTGGATTCTACTTTATCAAGACAGCATCTCAAAGATATAGAAGCGAAAACTCTTTCAAGCTCCCTAAAGAGAGTCCCAGTCACGCATGTAAGGATACCATAAACAGATTACCAATAAATAAATAAATAAATAAATAAAATATCAACAAATAACTAGTCACAAACAACTGCAATTCAAGTGTTGGATGCAAACCTCTTCAATCCCGAGCCCTTGAAAAATCTGAGAAGAATTGTGAAGGCCATATCACATAAATTGTTTTGGACAAGGAGATCAGCCAAATCTGACAGTGCCCCTTCTTTACCTTCAAAAGAAAAAGAGAAACAAAGACTAAAAATTGTATAGAACAAAACCAATTCTAGCAAAACTATATATCAATCACCCAAAAATGGACAGATGTTTCACAAGAATTTCCAGAGAGAATGAGCAAATGAGAGTTACCAGTATATGTCCACTTAACATTTACCAGCGACAGCATATATTCTGCCGATGTTAGCACAAACTCATGTTCAAGTTTTTCAATATCAATAGAAGATGTCCAGCATTGATGCTCAGCATCACTTTCAGCCGATACTGCATAACAACATTATGATCTCAAAACAGTATGAAGGCGAAATGGCAAATTATGAATAATATCCAGTAGTGAAATAGCACGAGAAACCTTTCTTTGTCCCTCCTAGTCCCTTTTATTCCACTAAAAATACATAGGAAAATTCAAAGACTTGATATAAATCATGTAAACTTAAGTAAATAGCAGCATTGATCTCAGGAACTGTACTACTTACAATCTATATCTACAGTTCTCCTAGCTTTCTTACTCGGATACTGTTCGCTCATAAGACCACTTCCTTCGGCTGGTGGATCAATCCAGGCATGTGCTGGATGAACAAGATGCAAGGCATTAATAGCAGCAGAGAGTGCATTCAGCCTCTCTTGCAATATCAATGAAGAACCCTGGTAATCTTTTAGAGACACTTCAGTTTTCAAGCGAGCTGAATATAAGTACATGTAATTCGCTGCCCTGCGCCAATTATGTTGATGCATTTGAAATGTATAAAGCAACTTGTACAAGTTTGGCTTTGCAGATATATCTGATCTTTCAGCCTACATCCACAGCAAAATTTCTAAACGTTAACTCAAAAGAAACTATAATTTTTACAGCACTGAACCTACTCAGTCAAGGTCAACACCTTCCAAGCAAGCTCCTGCTCTACCTTCTCCATTAAACCAGCAAGGGGAAGCTTATTACTGCAAAGAATCTACAAATACAAAATGAATATTAGAAGGGCATGAAAATTCTAGTTGAAGCATGTGAACTATCCACAAAACTTTCCAAAAAATAAGAAAAACTCGTGTAGAATAATTAAGCAAAAGTTACAATTTTTTGGCATATTAAGCCTAGGACAATATCATTCAAGCTACTTCTCTTAGAAACCAGAAAAAAAGGTCATAAAAACAAATTCAACAGATTTAATAGTTTGATCTGGAACCAAATAGAAAGAACAGCTGCACATAATTGGGACCTTCACACACAAACGCACACCCCTGCACACTTGTGCGCACATGAACACATTTACACCCAAATATTCAATCTCCCAATCACTTTCAACCTAATACCAGTAGTCACAATTTGAAGATTCTGTGATCCTTTCTTTGATGAAATGGCCATAAAACATAGAAACTGATTGAAAAGTAAAATCTGAAAAACTCTCCATGTGTAACCAAACTTGATAGCACCTTGTTCAAAAACAATGATTAGATGTCTCAAGCAGATAAAGAAGTGGAGTCTGAAAAATTCTTCACAAGTAACCAACCTTGATGGCACCTTGCTCATAAAGGACAATGACAAAACGTCGCAAGCAGATGTATTTGCTCTCCTCATCCGGATTTGAAATTATTGCACAATATGCATCAAAATAGCGGCCAAGATCTAAGGCAAATTTGAAGACATTTGACCACAGCCGTCCCTTGATGACTGTTGCTGATTCATCAGTCGAGTCTGTCATGTGCGTTTCATCTTTTATACAAAGAGCTTCATCAACTTGTTCGAGTGCAGCAAGAGCAAACTGGCAGGCACCTTCATTAATATTATATTGTTCAAATAATTGCATCGCCCACTGATAGTAATAAAGCTTCCACTCAGCAGTCGATGCACAACCACCTGTATAAGAACAAGAGAAAGGGTCAGAAAAAGATGCAACTAAGACCTGAGATTGCTTGTATGTTTCAGATTATTGCAGTTTAGGCCTAAATGTACCCACCAAAATTAAGACATGGCAATCCTATGTCATGAGGCAAACTCTGCAAAGCCTCTGATGCACCATTCCCATATGGAGACCTGAATTGAATTGAAAATTTTTTAACTTGTCGGATCGCAAGTCACACCAGGAACATCAAGAAAAATCTATAAAATAAAAGACACAACTAAAACCCTGTACAAAAACATTAATATGGTAGAGCTATCAATATCATTCAATAGCTTGTAGAAGCTAGGCCCTTGCTACTTTCAAAAGATTTCTTGATGTAGACCACTCTTATCTGCTTAAGTCCCCATTCCATCCCTTCACTTGGGTTACAAGTGGGCTTTCGGCTTATACAGATGACTCTTGTTTTAGTATTTGTTTTCATTGTATTCAAATAGCTAAATGTTCCTTAAGACTGATTCATATGTTCAATTTCGAACCGCAGATAAAATATCAATCACTTCATTTAATTGATTTTAAATATCAGAAGAATGCTGTTGACAAAGTAAAGGGATTATATAGTTATTTTATCATGTATTAAGAAATTCAATTAGTCAATACCAGTAAATAGTTTAATTGATGTGTTTAATTATACTCTTATGACTTGGTCTATGAGTTTTTATGAAGTCATATAGTTAAAAGAAAAATTGTGATTATTTAGCTACTATTTATATGCACTGCAATGTACAGAAGGTTTCAGAGTTGTCATTGATTGAATCACTGCTAGCGCCAATCCCCTTCACTCACTCTTCATCCCTTTCCTCTAATTTGTCCTAGCACATATCAATTGATATCCCTGCTATGATTGATTCACATCACGAGGTCTTCTGAGACAAGTCAAATTAAGCAACTTCTAAAATCACTTGGTCAACAGAGGCTCAAAATGCTAATTAAAAATGGACCAGACTTGGAGAGAGTTCATTGAAGTGTATGTGTTCATAGTCTACAGTAAATCTTTCCCAAAAGACAAACTTTTCAAGACGGCAGAGCCTCTAAACTTTCTAGCCCACTTGCACTCCATACTATCCAACGTGGGGATCTATAGGAGCCAAACAATTCATCACTTCCCACTAAATACATTTCGCATGGAGGACTCCAGTCCGTGGCATTGAGCAAATAAAATAAAAAAAAAACTCATCTTTTCATTGGAACCCAGAAATAGGACCAAAGTTTTATACATAAAAAATTAGTTCTCCATATCAATGCAAGACCACATAATACACTGAATGAGAAAAAAAAGAAGAAGTATAGTTTGTTCAAATTATTTTACCTGAAGAAACAGCGAACAGCATCAGAGACCTTTTTCTCTTTCAGAGTGCCATGCAATCCACACTGCACCTGTGCAAGAAGGGCACAGCCTAGAAGATGCTGTCGTATGCACCATCCACCATCAGCTTCTTGAATACTTTGGGATGTTTTCTCCTTTTGCAAATGAGCCTCCGCCATCATAAGCAATTGCTGTTGAAATGTTTAAGATATAGATAATTTTAGTCAAGGCAACTCAGGAGTAGGTTAACCCCAAAAAAATAAAAATAAAAAGGACTCAGAGTAAGGAATATAAAAGAGGATTGAATTGTCGCTCCAGAGAAAAAAGAAAAAGGAAAGAAAATAACCTCAGCAGCACCATACTGCCCATGCTTGAAAAGGATAAAGGAGAGATCAATTGAACGGCTCAAGAAGGTAGAAATTCCTCCAGTCTGACCATAGATTATCCAACTGACGAAGTCTCTAACCTTGACAACAATGCCCTGCACATTTGAAAAGTATTCTGAAGGAAGCTGGTTACCATCTTTTGATGAACTAGCATTCAAGAAGAAGATAAAAGCCAGTGTGGAATCACATCTTCCAAGCTTATCATTCCATGACCGTTTTCCCATGTTATTGTCTGCATCATAAATAGAATGATTAACACTATATTAGCAGTAAATGCGTGTTTTCAATTATATAATCTCCAAGTGTATAAAAATGCAAGTTTGAGAAGTTCTAATCACTGAACAAAAGCACTTTTCTGCATTATTAAAGATTGGTTGATAAAACCAGCTGTATTGACTCATTCATTTGAATGGATTTAATGACAAATATAATTGAATACACTGTGACATGTAAGTCAAATCTATGGGACTTGCTTTTTGACACTGACATTCACAAGGGTAGTCAGAATCGGGTATAACTAAAGAATTCCAACAGAGTAAGGACTAAAATATTCTAGTATGATGCATTTTGTCCCAATGCGGAATTATAATGCAAGGCCTTCATCCTTTTCAAAAGTTACATTTGGTAATTGGACATGTTGTACAACAGCATACCTATGTGCCAAAAAATGCTAGTTTTACCCAATTCGTCAAATAGTTCGATGCATCGAAATGTTAAAAAGCTTAATACAGTAAGACCTGGTACCACAGGGCTTTTGTCTGATAACTTAACCTAGACTATGTATTTCTCAAGAGCCCAGAGTCTAATTCATTAAGACTTATTTTTCTTTTAAAAGACTGGCACAAATATATGGTAAGCCTTATGAAAGCCGTCAATTTTTTTTTCTCTAAGGGAAGAAAGCCAGACATGCAAGCCTGCATTCTTCACACAGCTAAATCCAATTTTGCCATATCTAAACTCGCTAAAGGGGTAGGTAATTAGAAGAAAGATACATAATAAAACCTACCAATTTGTAATGGTAATCAGAAGAAGATACATAATAAAACCTACCAATTTGTAATGAAGAGAGTTTATAATTAAAATCCTCAATCACAGGTGGTGCAGATGGCGTGATAGCAAAGAAGATGATAACTAGCCACTCAAAAATAGTTTCTTGAAGCATAGGAATTAACTCAATTTGTATTCTGGTTATATCATGATGTGACATGTGGATCTGCAAAAGCAAAAAAAATAATATCAGAAAGAGGTGGCGCAACAATCTAAGTTCACAAAGAAATTCATAGCAGCTTGCTACATATGCGATAAAAACTATTGTGCAACTTGGCCAACATAAGTTGTTATTTTAAATAAATTTTACAAGTACCATTTGATGCCTAGAGACGTTGGCAAGAAAAAACACTAGGGAAAACACCAGCCAAAGAGGGAGCAATAAATTTTTCAAGCAGCAACATCAGTAACAAAAGCAAAAACACTTTTACACTGACCTGCCCACTGATGTCCACTAGATAGCTTAGAAATAGAAGAAAGTCCCAGGCAGACTCAAACATAACATTTGCAATCTGATAAGTAGCATGGACTACAACGGAGGAATTGACATTTGATGATTTTTCTGAATCGGAGTTATTTACAGTTTTATGTGGAACCAAAAATTTCAGAAAACCCTCAATTACATTCAAAATCCTGCCCCATGATGCAGCCTTCTTGTACAACCCTTGAAGAGACAAGAACATGTCAATAGAAAGTCTCCTCAGATTTCTGCGATCTGCAAGCTCCTTCTCCAGAACAATATCATTCCCAGGAATAGACGCATGGACAGCTGGAGCCAAGGAACCATATCCAGTTTCCAGAATCTTCATTATACAATGAATAATATCTTCAGAAGAGATAGCTGGGCTACTCAGAAGTGATTCATAAAATATAGAAGAAGCAGTTTTGCCCAACTGTTGGCTAAAACTTGAAACGCATCTGAACAATTCCATTGGAACTTCATGCTCAAGGTCATTATCAAATAAATCCACAAGACCTGTGAGATCACCCCTCCTTCTGAAAAGACACAGGATGTGAATGGAAGAAAAATTAAATTTAAAAAAAAAATTGTACGTAAAATAATGAGCATATAGATGTAATCAAGGAAGTGAACCAAAAGAAGGGCTTGATTGGCAGCATAGATTAACAGTGGGGTGGTCTGGATTTGGAACTTCTGGCTACCCCTCTAAATTGAGGGAATTCAACCCTCTCCAATTTCTCTTCTATCTTTCCTTTTTCACATATAAGAGTAATATTGGGAATTCAATCCTTCAAACCCATCCCATCGCATGGTGACGTCCAAGCAATGTAGAGCAGGTTACCATTCATTTTTAATGAATTTCCAACCAATGCAATGGGTTTATCCCCCCCCCCCCCCCCACTCACCAAAATTGCCAATCCAACCTTGAGAGAAAAGCTAGAAATTCTTTCTTGTTTTGTATAAAAAGAAATGTGGTCAAAATAGAGTGGAGAGGTGATGATAAGTACCTTCTATAATCCGCAATATCTTCCAAAGAACGAAAAAGCGATACTGAACTTTTTCTGATTAAACCAACTGCATCAGTAGAGTAATCAATGAACAAGCCACAGGATGCATTGATCTTGCACCAATTATGGAAGTAGCGGGTGCAAAAATACTTCCAGCATTGAAATATCGACATCTTTTCAGTTCCAACCTATCAGAGGAATCTTGTGAGTTTTATTATAACAGATTTATCATTCCCAAGGCTGAAGGAAAAACAAGAATGAGAAGAAAGATTTTCCGGATATGAAAATTACCTCATGTTCAATAGCTGAAAGTATCTCCTTCTTTAGTCCATCAGAAGTTAATGCTTGGAACTCAGATTCAACCAACTGCTTTTTATACTCAACTAGGGTTGCATGCATAACTGCATTATGATGCACTCCAGGAAGAAGCAACCTGCGTAAGAAAATTGAGGATACAAATGGCACAATATCATCCTGCAGAAAATAGCATGAAGTATTAACTGTAAGTAATAACTTTAAAAGAAGAAGCAAAATAACAGCAGTTGATGCATGGCAAGCCAACAGAAAACCAGATCACAAAATTCATTCAGATCCATTAAAACCGCATATCTCCCCTGTTTACAGCAACAGATGTGTGGATAGGTTTGCTTTAGAATAAACTCCCAAACTAACACTAATCACCGACCTACCCTCTACCCCACAGTTCTCCAAAACAAGTAACATTTCTTCATCTTCTTTTCTTTTACTTTACAGAAAACGAAGGATAAGTAGCTTCTGGCCATCAATTATAGAAGTTGAAAAGTATTAAGCGTCCAAGGCTACAGGGTATGTTTCTGCTGAATGCAAATGGAGTCTGCTTTTCCACAGATTTGCATATATTACATTCGTGGTGCACTAGCTAAATTACCACTTAGATCATGTGGTCACAAAAGCCCATCAAATTAAATGGTATGCCATAGCAAGTACCATTTTATATTAATCATTCTCATATGCACCCAATGCCCTTGGAATATGCCCTCTACCACCACCTCATTCAAAGAGTGGAAAAAAAATCAACTTCTAGAAAAATCATCGTCAGCCTTGGATATCATTTTACATGCAAGCATCTATTTAAACATACACACAGAAGCACATCACAACAAATGTACATGCATGCATAAAAACAAATTTTGAGGCATAAATATTTTCCAATTAGAAAAGCAATAAAATGCCTCCAAGAGCATCTTTAAATCTTGGGGTCCCTGATTCAGGGCTTTGATTGGGAGGGTAAGGGATGGGGGGAGATGGGGTGATTTGAAACATCCTAAACCAGAGTTTTAAAGCCACTCCAAATTAGGGGATTTGGAATGGGTTAATTCATTACCGTTTTCATTTCCTTAAGAACCCTCTCCCCTTGCCACTTTTCCCTCAAAGGGTTAAAATCACAAAAAACACTTGGAATTTCACCGTTCAAACCAACCCACCCCACTAATGAGATCGTAACATCAAAACAACAGAGAGTGCATAACCACCTAGCTTCCCCCCTATACTTCCCATCAACAGACTGAGTTATCTCCAAATCACCACCCCCCCCCCCCAAAAAAAAAAAAAAACTCCTCACAGCTCCCCAACCTTTGATAACTAACTTCATAATTTTAGAATGATAATAGAAGATTCCACAAAAGCCAATACCTTGGAAGATGAAAATAATGAATGAGCAATCTGCAAAATTTCATCTGCAAGATGATCTGAACCCTGAAATAGTTGATCAGCAACAAACTCTTCTTGTAATACATGAGAAAATTCTTCTTCCCTAACAAGGTAGAGTAATTAATTCAGCTTGAATGGTAACGGTCCAAATGTAGCAAATCATACACATGCATAACAAAATCATTAACTGCAAACTAGGTTATCTAATTTATATTAACACATAAATAGGCCCTGGCTATTGGTGGTGTTATGTCACCGTACAAGGACCATAGTTTAGCTCTATCTGAGGTCAAAACCAACTGATTTAACCTCGTTACTATCTTTAAACCTTTAGCATCAGAATGCCTAAAATCATTAGAGATTGAGTATACAGTAACATCAGAATGCCCAAAATCATTAGAGATTGAGTATACAGTTTATACCATAATAATATGGAACAATAATCAGTTCGTAGATTGACAGAAACAAGCTAAAATATGTCACATACTCGTCAGTATTTGCAGAAAACATGCGTGATATTAGTTCATCATCCTTCAGTATCCATATTTTGTTGGAAGTTAGTTTGACGTCAATGCATCCTCCCTGTAAAAAAAAAAAAAAAAAAAAAAAACTAGTGATGTACGGCATTTGATGCAGATGAAAAGTCAAATCTAAATGTTTAAATCAAGTTAACATGAGATGATCAGCAATTTACCTCCTCCAAAGAAATATTTCGTGAAGACTTCAGTGAGAAAATTATTCTGTCACTAAAATTGTATTGGATATTGTGTATAGAGATCATCTCCAAGCTTTCATCCTTCAACACAGCCCCCAAAAAAAAGTCAATAATCAATAACTTAAAAAACTGAGTATTATTTATTAATCATACCTAATATGGGATACTCTATAAGATGCTTAAGGAACGTAATTTACTCTCTATCAGTTATTAAATGAGATTTGTAACAATCAAATGCCACTGTTAACCAGTAAAGAATAAAATTAACTTATTACAACAAACTAGAAATTAAAAATTAGTAGATCAATTTCATGAACTCTACAACTAACAAATTTATTTATTTTCTACTTTCATCATTTAAATGTTAAAATGTAACCTTTTAATTTTTTAAGAAAACCTTGTAAATTCAATCTAGACTACATCTGCCCCAATGTAATTATCATCACAATTTAATTAGTCATCTTCAGCATTACTCATTCCAAATGTGCCAAATTAGTTTAGGTAGGCCAACTAATCTGATTTAAGTTGGTTTTTGAACAATAAAGTCACTTTTATCAACCAGGTTCAGATTCAGATCAGCTATGTTCAAATGATAAGATGAAACTATAGATATATTTGCTTTGGCCAATATGGCAATACATATACTTTAAATACGAGATGATTAACATCTTTACAAACATTTATTTAACAACAATCAGCTACGTGTAGAGTTTTCAATAGTTTAGATCATACACGACTCAAATGAAGATTCTAGGCATCAAGCCACAAAGCTTCTAGTGTACGTACTGACACAACATAACAAGGATAAAATATAAGCCTGAATGGTTTTTATCAATAACAAATGAGTTTCAAAACGTAAGTTTCATACCAATGACTGTTTGCACAAAATTGCCACTGGAATCGTACTTGAATCCAAACAAGGTTGACCCAACCATAGTTTCATAAAGCTAGCACCTGAATAAAAGAAACATTATGATATAAGTACATATATCTTTGTGAGCGGTGTAAACAACAGGAACGGGAATGCACGATATTGTCATTAAACAAAGAAAAGTAGGGCTGTAATAAATTATCAACTGTATTTAAGCTCTACCATAAAAGAGAGTCACTACGTATCATTACCCACAAAGGAGACTGTTAAGCAACAACACAAAAAAAAAAAAACCAAAAAAAAAAAAAGGGTTCCAAAAGTCCATCAAAAGCATTTGAGTACTATAAGAAACAAAAATTATCTTCCTTTTTCTCAGCTGAATTTTACTTTGCCTTCTAAACCCTCCAGTCAATCATCTCTAAAAGTCCACAAAATAAAGCCATTAACCGAGAGACCTCAATTAGTGACTTCTTTAAGTGTCCTTCTTGGTCTCCCTCTACCTCTCATTATCAGGCTAAAAGCTATCTATCAAAACAGACGGCATAAAAAGTTTTGACTTCATCTTTTAGAAACCAGGTTTGACATCAAATCCACTCACAACATGGCCTTTAAACTTCTCCACACAATCCACCAATTCTATCATACACTTTCCCACTCTTAACTCAAAATGTAGAAGTCAGATCTTGAAATCCTGAAAAGTTTGTGCACTGCCCGCTGAAGCTTTCCTAATTTATCCAATTATCCCACTTTTTAGGACATTGATACAGAAGGAACCAATGATAATACTACTCTCTAATATTGAAAGAGGTACACTTGGTCAAAAAGCATGTATAAGATAAATGGAAAACAATATGAAGACTAAATTAAAGTTTAGGACTACAAATTACCTGTCATGGTTGTAGTGCCCATAGTATGACTAAAGACCCTGGAATTACATGAGAGATCCCAAACTCGTACTGACCCATCCAGATGAAGTACAAACAGAAATCTTTTCCCATGAAGCTCATATATCACCATGTCTTGTACTAAACTCACCATTTTACCCCTATAAGACATATTTAGGGAATAGTTTACAATCCATAAATCATAATACAATTCAAAATTGAAAATCTGAGAAAATAGGAGATACCAAAAGACTGTAAAAAACACATATTACATTTACAATAATACAATATATTTGATTGCTCAATATCAATTAATATCTTTAAAAAAATACCGTGACATAAGGCCCCACAATCGGCTGATTCCAACTTCATCTCTCAGCTCAACCACAAATCCTTCAGGGAAACGTAAATGCATTATAAACTATAACAAGTAATAAGTTAAATAAAAAAGGCTCTAAATATGGAGAAAATAACATGGTGCTTCACAGTGATATCCGTAACACGAACAATGCTGATCATTGAAGTGGCAGTTAGAAGAAACAAGAGCAGCTGCGGGTAGGATATAATTTGCAGTGTGAATTCCTTAAGAAGGAACACTCCACATCAATTGGGAACAGTCACGTGAATGCAAATTCAATTAGCCAGAGGACATGCAAATTGCACCAGTATGCATTGTAATGAAAGAATCCAAGAGGAAGGAGGAATGAAGCATGCAAGCTGATGCATCCATTAATACTTGAAAGTAAAGAGCCAGTTAATCATACCAGCAGCACTTGGATCAAGTACACCGAGCTGAAAACAGCAGACCGAACCATCATTTCTGCCAACAACAAGACACCCGGAAGTTGGAAGTTGCTGTTACTGCAGTCACTGGCATATAATTCGAGTAATTGTGCAAGTTAAGCTCTGTAAGCTCGTGAGCTGGGAAGACGGAGCAGGATGCATATGTAGAAACATTTCGAATTTTCAAGAGGTAAGCCACCCCAGACACAGTCAATACAAAAAGCAAGTAGGGAATCTGGAAGTGGCAGTAATCTGCAAATAACAGAATTGTTAACTGAGTCAAGAAAATTGCAGGATACAATCTCGACGGCGTACAAATGATCAATAAAGCAAAATATAATCAACTATATTGTGTTCAAAAGATATGCAGTGTGGTGTATGATGGATGCATAACCTCGTTTTTGCAGATGAAAGCAAATGGACAAAGCTCGGGAGGGGGAAAGTGAATCTCAATCCAGCTTTAGGAAATTCTTCGGAAGCACGGATCTCCAATAACTCTAATGCTTGAGGCTGCGTTTTGTGAATTCTCCTATGAGAGGAAGCCACAAGGGTGGTTGGTAATAATAGCGTCAGATTTTTTTTACCGAAGAATGCAGTAGATGTACAACGGACGAGGCAGTTTGAGCAGAGCTATAACTTGAAAAGAGGGCAGAAAGAGGAAGCTACCATATGAGATAAGAAGAAGGATTTCCAATGACAAAGCAAGAGGCGCGGTCCTTGTTGGGAGGTCCAAGAGTGGCAGTCCCACTGTCAACGGCAATGGCGGCACTGATGGAAGGAGAAGGAACCGACAATTCAATCCACTTGAGGGCATCGTTGCTGATTATGGGAACTTCCTTCCGGCCAACGTCGACCCGCTTCCCATTTTCTTCGTCGTATTCTTCCGTGCCAAGCCCCGCCAAAACCCTACTGCCGGGTTCTGGGTTAGAACAGCATAAGCTGGCTTCTCGATCCAGGAAACCGGAGCGGAAAAGTCGTGAAAATGGAAAGAGCTTGGCGCCCAAATTTGTTACCTGAAAAAAAACAACAAAAAACAAAATAAAAGATCAAAACAAGTGACAAATTAACAATGCTTCATTCGGCTTATAAATGACCTGGAAGAAATTAGATCAGGCGTGTATGGATGAAAATAAAATCATAATTTAAAAGCAATTTTATGATATAAAATAATATATGGTTATATATAAAGAGTTTTTCTTAATTTGTGAAAAAAGTACTTCTCAAACACCTCTAATTTGATATGCGTGTAATGATATAAACTCCTTTGGTAATTTATGCATCTGTATGTAATATAAAGTTTTGATAGATAAAACTATATTTATGAATTATGAACACAAATAATAGATTTGTTTTTCAGTTTTTATAGTTTATTGATTTTTAATACTACCTCGGGGACTAATTTGAGGGATTAAGAAAGTAGTTGAGTTAGTTATTTGTCCTAAATAGGTGTTATCTTTCCTAAAATATCCTTACTAATCAAGTGTATTGACTATAACTATCATTATTAGAAGGGTTACTTTGGGAAAAAAATGTATAAATATGAGAGACAAAGTGGATTGAGGTATTATATTTATGATCAAAAAAAAGTCAAACACGGTCTTATATTAAGGACCGGAGGTAATATTAACTAGCTTATATACGTGTAATAATTGATTGAAATAGGAAAATACTACCTCCGGTCCTTATATAAGACCCTGTTTGACTTTTATTTTGATCCTAAATATAATACCCATCCACTTTGTCTCTATATTATGCATTTTTTTCTAAGATAATCCTTCTAAGAATGATAGCTCTAGCCAGTACATTTGATTAGTAAGGATATTTTAGGAAAAAAACACAAATTTATTACAAATAATTAACATAACTTATTTCATTAATCTCTTTTAATTAGTCAACTAACTCTTATAATTAGGATCATAAGTAGTATTTGTTAAATAAACGAGCAAGATCTAACTAATAGGTAATTCAACACTAATTTTATTGACTAGAGCGTGAAATAATTTCTGTTATTGAATAAACATTCGTGTAATTAAATTTAATGCTAAAACTTTTAAGTATATTGGGCGCAGAGATTGTCAAGTATATTTCAGCTTGGGAAATTTTATTTGGAAATGAGACTCTGTTGTGGACAAAACTAACAAATTATTCCGTACTCATAATAAACCAAAAATCCAATTACATCTGCTATCAATGTATTAAAGTTTAAAATTTTTAAATTTTAATCAAACAGTAAAAAAATTTATTTTATGAAAAGTATAAATTTGACAAAAGGAGCTTGAAATAACATTATCAAAACAATGGAGCATTTAGGTAGAAACTAAATTATAATTCTAAAAACAATTTATAATATACAAAATAAGTATGAAAGAAGAATTTTATAAAATTATTCTTTTTTAACTGTTTTTACTCGATGCCAAGCACCCCTAGCGCTCCGCACCCGCAGTTCCACGCACATGCATACAGCTCTTATACGAACAAATAAACAATAGGTCCGTAGCTTCGTATATCATACGATACGACGTGGGCGCTTAGGATAGTTGCGATATGTTGTCGTTTACAACGTTGTTGACCATAAGCCTCGTTGGAACTTGGAACAGAAGACCGTAGCATACAATGGAGAATGCATCATTGGAGAATGCAAGTGTAACCCCCACCGACGAATGTACTACTTCAATAAAACACCCCACATGTTGATGTTGCGATTCACCCCCTTTAACCCATTTGCCTTTTCTTTTCCACCAATTCGCCAAGGTTTAGTCCCCAGAAGGAACAACACCGGCTTGACATTTTCCTATCATTTACTTTGCTTCTTCCCACGCTTTGTCCTCTTAGTGCTCCCGCATTTAGATTTCCCTTCGATTCCCACTTTATCATGTACATTTAACTTTTCCACGTTCGTGACATGTCCATGTGGTTTTTACCCAATAATAATATTTCCTTACACTACAATCCCCGTCATTTGTACTCTTATCTAATTGGGATCAGCGCCAGAAGATTGCATATCGTTAGGAAAGGCTCATCCTAAATATCTGACCGTGACGTATCCGTCATTGTCAAGAAGCAGAATGTGCTGCTGCTCATCACCACTCTATCCTCACGGCCACAACTACACTATCAATGTTGGAAAATGATAGATGAGATTTAATATTAGCATTCACTACCTTACCCAATTCTAAACAGTCATGCGGTCATTGCTGGTGCACTTTAGTACCACACTTCGCATCATCTCAGGATCGTTCCTTTTAAAAAAAAGCCAATGAAGAATCTCAACAAGATTAAGATTCAGTTCTCTACAAGGAAACAATTCATCTTTTAATATTCATTCAATTCCTTTTGTATGTGTCTTTGTCATTTCCTTGGTAACAATCATCAGGACAAGGGGTTACATTCTTAGGCACGAAAACGTGGGGAAGGATGATATACAAACTGTACTAGTGTGAAACAAAAATGCCAATAATCACCAAGAATATTTGGCATATATTCCTCTAACGCTGGTAAGTTCTAGTGAACAACTAACCCTCTCTTTCATCATCATCTTTTGGTCTTGCAGAACTTGAACCAGAGGCCATCCCAATAACTTGGGTGTGTGTGAACCTTTGTAATTGAATCATGCGTGCATATATCCCATCAGGGTGATTTTTCAACAACTGCGAGTGAGATCCTTGCTCTGCTACTTTCCCATCATCAATCACCGCAATCACATTGGCATTTCTAATAGTTGATAGCCTGTGGGCAACAATAATAGTAGTTTTCCAGAGCAAGCACGGTCTAGAGCCTCTTGAACAGACCTCTCAGATTCAGCATCAAGCGCACTTGTTGCCTCATCAAGAAGCATAATCTCCGCCTTCCTCACAAAAGCCCGGGCTATTGCTATTCTTTGTTTTTGACCTCCGGATAGCTGAACTCCTCTTTCCCCAACAAAGGTTTTGTATCCATCTGGCAAGCCAGATATGAACTTGTGAGCATTGGCAAGAGTTGCTGCTTCAATTATCTCAGCTTCAGTTGCTGACTCATTCCCATAAGCTATGTTTTCATATATAGAAGAAGCAAACAAACAAGGCTCTTGAGGTACAATGGCAATGTGGCATCTGAGGGACTTGAGATTGTATTTTCGAATGTCCTTTCCATCAATCATAACCCGCCCAGAAGTTGGATCATAGAATCTTTGTACGAGGGCAATCACTGAGCTCTTACCACAGCCGCTTGGTCCTACAAGGGCCAGAGTTTTACCTGCCCTAGCACGAAGACTGAGATCACGAAAAACTGGCATATCTGGACGACTGGGGTAAGAGAAGTCTACATGCTTGAGTTCAATTTCTCCACGAAGCCGATCAGGAACGGGGATAGCATCTGGGTCATCTGGTTCAATTTCAGTTCTGCGATCGAGAAGATCAAACACTGATCTCATGGCTCGACCTCCCTTAATGAAGTCAGGAGCTAGGGTTAAAGTTTCCGCAGCACCATTGGCAGAGACCATAAGGACCATAAAGACTCTGATTGTTTTGGAGAAATCTGAGATTCCATGTTTCACAAGCCAAGAAGCATACCAAAGACCAAGCGAATATGAAGCATAGAGTGCAAACTGAGCTATCCCAAATCCACTTCCAGAAATTTGCCCCTTCCAAAAGCAACGTCGCAGTGGTGTTTCAAGGTTGGAAGTGAAAAGACCAACAATTTTTGTCTCCGAATTGAAGGCTGCAACAGTTCTTACATTTGCTATAGCCTCCCCTGCAAGTTGTGTGGCCTTGGCATGTGCAGCTTCCAAGTCTCCAGAGAAACCAGTCATGAACATTTTCTACATAAAAATCAACACAATGAGTAGTGACTTAACAGAAGACTCCCAAAACACGCAAGGAAGGATGAAATGAAACAAGCAAACCTGCAAAACAGTGGCTGCAACAACAACGGGGAAGACAGCTATGAGGACAAGTGCAAGGCGCCATTGCAACACAAACCCTGCAGTGCAAGCAACTAACATAAGGGCAGTATTCTGCACTATTACTGAAATCCGATCTCCAATGGCTGATCTAACATTTTGGGCATCAAGAGCGAGCCTTG